ATTCATTAATAATTATATATATATATATATATTGTAGTTATGTGTATATGTGTTTTATTAATTATAAATAATTTTATTTTAATATATATATATTTATTTATTTATATATATGTGTGAATTTATATGCATATATTAATTTAAATACAGGTAGATGAATATTTAGATATTTAATAATATTTTTGAATGATGAGTCAGTAGTTTTTTGCTGAGTCAGCAGTTGCGTTTGTTTGATTTGGAAAAAATTTAAAAGGCTGGGTATTTATGTGGGAGTTTTGAAAAGTTCAGGTATTTATATGACAATTTTATAGTTCAGATATTTATTTGGGATTTTCGTAAAAGTTTGAGTATTTTTATATGATTACCCCTAAAAATTATTGTCAAAATGATTTTTGTATTGATCTAATATCTACCTCTAAATCTATGATATTTGGATACTATTTCAATCTTTTTTATATTTGATATATATCTTCATACGAAGATTTTTATTTATTTATCAATCTACCTTTTAAGAAAAATATCTCTAAAAGTATATATATATATATATATATATATATATATTACATTTACATATATTTAAATATCATTTTTCATATTTTGATGAGTATACACAAGATAATTACAAAAAAAGTTTCTAATTATATTTTTTTTTTATCATATATCTAATATCTAAACATCTAATGCAAAAAAATATATATATATACCACGACAAGTATTTTGTCTATCTATATCAACATATCTAGAAGCCATTTTTAACCAATTCATAATTTAGGAGGATATAAATGTTCGTTTTGGTCTTATATGAAAATATATTAATATAAATCTAATCTTGAATGGGCAAAATAACAAAAATAACCTTAAAAATGACAAAAGCAACAACCATAACCTTAGAATCTCTAGGGTTTCCCAAAAAACCAATATTTTTAATAAAATTACGGAAATATCAGCACAACTAGTATGACCAAAACTTGAGGTATGACCAATTCAAACGGTATAACCAGTCTGACTAAATTTCTGTTAGTCTGACAATTTACATTTGGTATCAGAGCCAGACAACGATTATGGATAACGAAAAAATTGATTTTTCGAAAGGATTACCATTAATATTAACCAATGAAGATGAATGTTATCCTGGATTTCCTTATAAAGGAAAGGTGATAACAATACCTAAAAATCTTCATAATCAAAGCCGATATTATATTGGCACCATCTTTGACGATGATACTAATCATAATCTCGGAAATAAAATAAAGAAAATAGGTTTTACCCTAAATAATATTGTTGAAATGATTTCTTATGGAATCATACATCAAAATCCAGAAAATCACGAAGAATTAAAAAGAAATATTGAAAATATAAAATCAGATTTAGAAAATCAGCTACAAAAATTAATAAAAGTATTCGAACAAAACCATGAAAAACAAGATGAAACTAAAAATATAAACAAAAAATTAGAAGAAATAATATATCTACAAGAAAAAAGCATTAAAGAAATGAAACAAAACTCTGAAGAATTAAAAGAATATATTAAAACAATAATAGGATGACAGAAACTATGAAAGAAACTATAGAAAAAATAATTAAAGAAACAACAGCTGAAATAAAAGAATTACTACTAAATAT